ACTCCATCGAGAATGCCGTTATTTTCGACTCAATTGAGAGTGTCGTTATTTCCAAATCCATCGAGAGTCTTGTTGTTTCCGACTCCGTCAAGAATCTCATTGTTTTCGATTCTAATTCAGTTGAGAGCATTGTTTTAAACTTTGACACAGTGGAGCGGCAGTGGCAACGGCAGGCAAGCAACTATTATTTTTATTTGCGTCTTTTGCGTATGTATTCAACTTTTTTATCAAAATCAAGTTGGTTTTTGTTATACCACTTGAGTTTGAAAGGTGATGTTGAGATATTTTAGATATTCATCTTTAGATTAGTAGATTTAGATTTAGATTTAGATTTGGTCTTATTTTATTTAAATTTAAGTCTATCGAGTCTGTATATTTTGCCTATTTATATACCTCTATTTTTTTTTTTATGAATAACAATGCAATTTTTTAGTTCCGTAAAATATTCTAACAAAATCAATTTTAAACAGATATGCATTGATAATTGTTAAATTTAATTAGTCTCTTCTAGTTCACAACGCGATTAGGATAGTAAATTATTTGTGGTGTCATCAGGGTTCTAGTCTAATTAGAGAAGTAACTAACGGACGTACCTTGACTATCGAGAAAGTAAAGAAAAGTTAGTTATTAGACGCACGTCGTTACTATAACATTTATTTAGACACCAATGAAATTAAATATTTGTAGACAATCAAATCCACTGTCCAATTTGTCAATTTCATTCCTAAACTGGAAGCTTATTTTTATTGAGTTTATATTCTTATTTTCATCTTCTAAAACACTCTTTTATTATATTTATATATTAAACAATCAAAAATAAAATATTTTTTATTTCCTCACGAAACAATTCTACTTTATCTATACTACGTTTTTTTATTATGAAAGTAGGTTTATTTTATTTAAAATTTTACAGCGTATGTGACATTAGCTACGTGAATTCTCGGAACAAAATTTAGGGTAAATACGCACAATAATATTGTTAATTTGGTATTGATTGTCTTCTCCTATTTCATCGTCCTTTCGCATCTTCTTTTTCTTTTATAGAGAAACATAAAAAATCACTTGTAAAAAAATAAAAATATTTTTAAAAAATAAATGAATCGGTATAACTATGAAGAAAACCTGATATATATACATCAAAATATTTTATTCACTCATATATATATATATATATATACTACTACTTCTTATTATATTATAATTTATAAAATATTATAAGAATATAGAATAATTTTATATAAAAAATAAAAAATTAATATATAACCTCAATTCAATGTCATTTTATTTTATTTTTTCTTTTTTCCCCTCTATAATCTTTCTCCTAATCTTCTTCTTCTTTTTTCCCTCACATTCTTTTACTCATATATATATATACTACTACTTCTTATTATATTATAATTTATAAAATATTATAAGAATATAGAATAATTTTATATAAAAAATAAAAAATTAATATATAACCTCAATTCAATGTCATTTTATTTTATTTTTTCTTTTTTCCCCTCTATAATCTTTCTCCTAATCTTCTTCTTCTTTTTTCCCCTCTATAATCTTTCTCCTAATCTTCTTCTTCTTTTTTCCCTCACATTCTTTTACTTCCCTTTTTTTTTCCTCTTCCCCTCATAATTTTGTCCGTCTTATTTTTCTCTTGACAATCTACTTTTTCTTATTCTCCTTTGTAATATATGTTTGTTTGTGAGATTTTTTGAAAAGAAATATTTTATGTAAGACATAGGAAATTATATATGAAATATAAAAATAATGAATGTATACAGTGTATTAATTTTTTTTAAAAAATATGTGGAAAAAAAACTTTAAATGAACAAAGGTTGGGGGCTCGTGAGGCTGAAGGGAATGACTCCTACTTTCTCAAATCTCTGTTTTTGATTTCGGTGATGTTACACTACAATAAAATATCATTTTTGTAACGAAGTTTTTTCCTCCCTAAATTCACTTTTTCCGTTACTAATAAAATTAGATACGGAATTAAGGATGAAATTACATTAGCTACGTGAATTTTAGCGACAGAATTCCGTTACAAATATACTATATTTTTGTAGTGTTAACAGCAGCGGCCAAGCCGGAATTACGAAGTGGTATTAGCCCATGAAAAAAACCAGGGCTGTGTATTGCTGCTTTGGGAGTGCTGGTTCTAGATGTGATTATGCATGCTGCAGCCACAATCTGGAATGGAGCAGGACTGTCCAAACACAAGTTCATCCTATGGGTAAATTAAAGACGAAAAATCAATTGTCATTCTTGGACATCGACCATCTTTGTGTTCTTTGTAAGGAATTTGTTGAAAAAAGAAATTTGAAGTATAGTGTCAACTTTGGCCGGAAAGCCGACCAAAAACACCCTTGATAATTGTTTATGTGATACCATTATTAATACGATATTTTTACTATAAAAATAATTTTAAATTAATACAAAATTAAAAAGTACATATTTTATTTTATATTTTGAAAATAAAAATTGGACAGTAATCTATATTCAAAACAGAGTATAAACAAATGTACTTTGAAAAAAAAAAAAAAGTAGAAGTTGGACTAACAATATTCACCTAATTTTTTTTACGACCTGGATCAGGTGCTGAATTTAAATACTGAATGTCTTAATTATTAACTACTTTCAATTATATTAATTATAAAAACTAATTATAGAAATCAAGATATTATATCCTAAGAATTAAGTAGAATTTAGTAGAGAGTCTTTTAGTACTTAATCCATGCTCTTAGGCTGACATGATTCCTTATAAATAAATAAAAAAAATACAGTATATATAAAATATATTTTAAATAAATGTATGTATCCAATTCGTTGACCTGGCGGACACGTCATCTCCGGCGAGCCACGCGGGCGTCTCCAGCGCCGGAGGACTAAAACAGCGAAAATTTTTCACTTATGGGACTAATTTGCGACATGCTCCACTTACCGAACTAAAATGATAAGGGGTGCAGTTACGAGACTAAAAAAATTTACCCTTTTTTATATTATCAATATGATTTGATATAAAAATTAAATTTATTAAAAAATACAAAGTCAACACAACCAGATTAGTAAGAGACTTTTATAATTATGAAATTTGAAAAACTTATAAATAATAACAAATAATATTTAATAATAATTTATAAAAATAAATGTTTTATATATTTTTTTAAAAAAATATTATTACGAATAATACTTTGTGTTGAGACAAATGATCTTTTTTTATTCTAGATGCAATATTTAAGATAATAAAGTTTAATAAATTAATTATAGTTAGTTATGATTGATTTCTACCATTTCAAATCAAAATCAATAATATTAACTTTTATAATTTATAGTTTTTTTTTATTTTAATTAAACTATTTAGTTATATTAATATTTATATAGAATTATATTTATTATATCATAATTAATTTTTATTGGTCACTTTTTAATTCCATATTAATTAGACAATATCTAAAACTCTTCGGCTAAAGTGAACAAATTAGTTGAGACGAAAATATAATATAAATAAATACAAATATATTTATTTATTTATAATTAATATAAATTAAATTTATAAAAGATGATAATTTTAAATATAGATTAAAATATTTATTCATTAAAAATATATAGAAATAATTTTTTTGAATTATATACATTTAAAAGTTATAAAATTAATTACTCCATCCGTCCCATAACTAGATATTCATTTACTTTTTACACGTAATTTTAGAATTATTAGTATTATATTGAGATATAGTAGAAATAAAATAAAAATGACTAAAATAACCTTATTAGTATGTGTGATATAAATATAATGACATTTGTGTAATATTGTAAATTATAAGGGTATTTGTAATGTTAGTAGATAGTACATCTACTAAAAAAAAGGAAATTGATACTTTATTATGGAAAGTATTAAAATGAAAAAATGAAAAAAAATTTATGGGACGGAGAGAGTACATTAATTTACATTTTTATTAAATATATTTTAAAATTAATAAATTTTATTTATTTATTATATGAGATACTTAAAATAGAGAAATAGTATTATATCAACATAAAACAAAATTATTTATTTATTATATGAGATACTAAAATAGAGAAATATTATTATATCAATATCAATCTAATTTGAAAGTATAATAGAAAATTTAAAAATTAATACCGGTCATATTTACTTTTTGCATGTTGATTTTGAAATATTAATTATTATATGAAAACGTTGTACAAATGAAAGGATAATGAGAAAAATACTTCTATTTACTATTCGTAATAACATTTGTGCAAAATATTATACAAATATAAATATATTTTTAATGTTAAGTAATGTAAATGAGACCCTAAGAACATGATCGAGAGACTAATATTTTAATTATTATAAATTGTAAAATATAATGCTCCCTTCGTCTTACATAATTTGTCTATATTTTCTATCTTGATATGTCTACATAATTTGTCCTTTCATTCTCTTGAAAAATGATTATACACTTTAATCATATTTAAATATCATAATTTATAATTTTCTTAATCTTAATTAAACTATTTAGTTAATCTATAATTTTTTTATCAAACAATAATTATTTTTACTAATATATTTCTTAATTACTTATTAATTGTATTTTATATAAATTCTGGTATCTACAATAATTAGCCCAAAATATGTGGGACGGAGGTAGTATAAAAGATAATTTTGTATGAATATATTTTTATGTAAAAATAATAATCTTAATAATAAAATAAAGATATTTTTAAAGTGAGTGTTTACTTTGTAACATTTTAGCGTGATTGTACTATTTCAATTTTTTTTTTCTTTAAAATTATCAAATCAAATATCTAATTTTTATTTATTTTATTATACTAAAATTTAACTTAAAATATCATATTAATACATATTTATATCATATTAAATAATTATTTCAATTTATAATTTTACTATTAAAATCAAAATCAAAATCAAAATTCACGAACGAAACACATAATTAGTCTTGATGATGACTACTACTACTACATTTGTTATGTTAAAAGGGGAGTGGTGATAAAATATCTGCGTTGGTGGTTTAGGCTTGAGAAGCCAATGGGGCATCTGATGTTTTCTCCATCTCGTATTTCCCCGAAGCTCACGCCGTTCGCCGCCCTATTCCGCCCCGTCGCCACCACCACCTCACCCACCCTTACGGCCGCTGTGGTCACCCTACCGCCCAGCCACAAGAATGTGAAAGATTCTGGAGTGCTCCTCGGCATGTCCGAGGTGGAGCTCCGGGAGCTCGCTCTTCAATTCGGTCAAGTACGCCACGTAGAGTTGTCGGACGATTGAAATTTCTGGTTTATTTAACCTTTTCTTCTATTGCAGGAGAAGTACAGAGGGAAACAGCTGCACCATTTGTTATACAAGAGGAAAGTTAAAGAGGTCCAAGAATTTACACACTGTACGGATTTCTTTTAGACGTTCTTGTTGTTGAGTTGCACTTTAATTGTTTTATCTTTGAGGCAATGGGTACATACATGCGTATAGATATGTGTGTGATGTGTTTCTTTTTCTTTTTTCTTTTAACCCTGTGGTTGAGAAGTGCCGTTGGCGTTCAGAAATGAACTGCAGGAAGCGGGATGGAGTGTTGGTCGGTCGCCTGTTTATAAGGCTGTCACTGCCGCAGATGGAACTGTTAAGGTGAGAAAATTGCTGATGATATTGTAGTTTTTTTAGCTAAAATGATTATAGTTTGGATTGAATAATTTTCACGTTCAAAGAGTGGTTTTGGGTGATTAATGTACTTATTAAGGGTTACAACTTGATCAAATTTCTTTGAATTACCAGAAATTTGGAAACACGGAAATTTTCTCTACACTTGCAACTTGATAGAAGTGTCTCATCACATGGTTTTCTTATCTGGCTATTTGTAATGAATTAGGGCTTGATTTGATTATGAAATCACTGGCAAGGTTACATATGAAAAAGCACATGAAACATAAACAACAAAATATAATTTGTCATTCAGAATATTCTATAAACAAAATCAAACACAACTCAATCTGCAAAAATGTTAGCAAACATATCCTTAAACTTTGTATTAATCTCATTGCGTTGTTTGAGTTTCTTCCTGTGTAGAATCTTTCGATGCTCTTTATTAAGTTTAATTTGGAAAGGATGGTGTATACTCGGAGTGCATGTATGTAAACCTGCTTAAATTGTTTATAGCTGTAACCTGTATGTTGTAGTTTAAATGAAAATTCATTTTAAGAGATATATACATACGCTACTTCTGCTTTAAAACAATAGGAAGAGTGTGTGGGTATCATGGCTTCCGCTTGTACTTACTTAAAATAAGTATTTTCTGCCATAAGTAGAAAGACCTTTGATGATTACTTAGCGCCTTGTAGAATACTTAATATTGTATTGGAGAATTGACACTCTTACAAACTAACATGTTTACATTCAAATCTCAAATAAAACATCTATTATACTAAAGTAATTACATATAATTTAAGAATAATTAATTAAGTAATCACTTTATCGTCCCTGAACTCTCACCCTTAACCCTTTTTCATCATAACTGGATTTAATATTATGTTTAAACCTCTACTTATGATGTTAGTTGAGAAAAAATGAAAAGAAAAAACCTCTGCAAGCAGTACCTGTATCGGGAATTGATCAACATATCCCTCTTTGCAACTTTCAGTTCAATATTAGATAAAGCATTTATCACTAAACAAACACAAGATATTGCTCTATATTTCTTAAAATGATACTGAAATTATGCATTGTGAAAGATTTTACTTATGCAGCAGTTCCTCTGTTATGAACAGTGGCAATTGCCATTTTATATTCTGATTTAAGCAGTGGAGAAGTTACTATCAACTGTAAAATATGAGCAATAATTTCACATGATTTTCCGCCTTACCATTAACAGCTGGTTTGCAGCCAGCAATCTTCTCAGATGAGCACATGTATTTGGTTTCTCTTATTGATGATTAATTTCTGATTTTCAGGCCTCATCATCTTTAGATATTTACTCCCAAGTAGATTTTGACTCTTGACATCTGGATGTGCATGTGAATCCCACTTCCAATATTCTCATAATGTCTCCTGTTACTTCCAGTTATTAATAGAGCTAAAGGATAGCAGGTTGGTAGAAACTGTTGGTATACCAGTTGAAGATAAGGAAGGCTCTGTTAGATTGACTGCATGTGTTTCATCACAGGTAACATTCTTTACACATATTTCTTCTTTAGAATGTCTTGCTACTTCTGTTAAAATATGGCTATGCTCTGCCACTGGCTTTTTGTTTATTTCATTTTGTTCTCCAGGTTGGTTGTCCATTACGATGTTCCTTTTGTGCCACTGGTAAGGGAGGTTTCTCGAGGAATCTTAAAAGGCATGAAATTATTGAACAGGTTATTTTCTTGAGTTGAAAGGATCTGTTTAAGCTCTTTGTTTACTGATGCTTATCCAACACAAGATTTATTGTCTGATATTTTGTTATCAAATGAAGTGAACTTGTATTTCATGGTCAACTATCTTTAATATACTTGTTGCCTAGTTCTCTTGGTTGCTCTTATATTCATATACCTTTTTAAATTGACGTTTATAGCTTCCAAGACAAATATCCTAGCCTACGTTTCAATTTGGTTATTATGCTTGTAGCTTTCGTTTGGTAATGTTTCTGTTCTGTGTGGAATGTAATTTGTTGTCAAGGTCTTACTCTTGCGAGTTTTCCATGTATTACTCAACCTTCTTGTCCAACTCTTTTATAGGCTAATCAGTTTAATTTCATAATGTTCTAGCTGAGTTGAATCAAATGTTTGCACACACAGTAAGCAGGTACTCTGGCATTATATTTTCAGCACAAGTCAATGGTATAGTATGAATGATACTATGAAGGATAAGTCTTTATTTGTACCACTATATCCCCATAGAATTGGTTTAATCTAGGGACTAATTTAGCCCTAATCCTAGGCATTAATCGTTCTACTTACTAATATAATACAACAGTACTATTGAATATTTATGTTGCATATTACAATACAAATATTAAATTATACATCAAAGTAAGAGGGTACTGCAGAATGTGTGAACGAGGATTGATACAATATTGGATGATTTCCATAAGGATGGAGTGGATATAGATGCAATTTTGGTCAAAAAGTATGATTGAATGATTTAAACACCGAATATGTTGGCGGTAGTCAACTGTAGTTGTAGCGCTCAAGATCGGTGTGCTAATGATTTGAACTCCAGGAATTAGGGAATGTAGCTGCAAGGCCAATAAGGATTGTATATGATTCAGTAAAACGGGTGATTTTCTAGGGTACTAATAAGCATAAACCTAGAGATTGTTAGAAAAATTATTGAATCAATGGACTAAACAACCAAAGGTGAGATCCGTGGATTGCAAAATTATTTGTTATGTTGAAAGGGGTTCTAAGCTTGTTCATAACTGTTAATCCATCCACTCTCGATGTGTAAAAGTAGATTGAAACCTAGATAATTATGAATCTCAGAACTGATTATAAACTCATCTGACTCTCATTGTGATCTTCTATCACTCTTACCAATTCTTGTTCTTGTCTAAAAGTATCAATTAAGAAGTTTGTAATTACCGGATTAAAATACAATTAATATGTTTAAGCATATTAACGGCCTCTGCTAAGTCCAAGAGGCCAAAGCCCCATTAACTTTTTCATTTTATCATCCTAGGAATAAAAGAATAATATATTTAAGTAATCTAAACTTTTAAGTCTGTGAGCCATGCATCTAATAATTTTTAATCTATAATCCAGTTTTAAAGGGTGCTTTTACTTCCATATCATTCCCAATATGCATTGTTTCAATAAAATATATCAAGTGTGTTCACTTTGTGTTTTTGGATGGTTGTGTTATTTATATTAGTATGAATAAAAATAATGTTTTTTTGTTAAATTATTAATTTTTTCTAACTTGATAAAATATAGGTATTATATATATATATATGTTAATGTGTGTATATATTATATTGTTTTTTTTATAATAACTATAAAGAATCATGCCACCAAATAACACAAAGTGAACAAACCCACTATTTTCTCCCACAATTAATTTAAAAACAATAAAAATAAGTATTTTAATGACTTTGTTACAGTTCATAAAACCTATTAACAAAAATTCATAAAATTCCTAAACACTACAAAAAACACAACAGAATCTAGAGTGCTTATGATTTATTGTTTGATACACCTCTAGAACTATTCACACGCTATGCTATATAGTATTCCTGCCCATTCCCATAAATTTTCTTCTCGGGTCCAAAGTTAGTTCATATGTGGGCTCATGCCCTCACCGACTTCATCTCACTTCCTCTCTCTCTCATATATATATATATGTGTGTGTGTGTGTGTGCGTGTGTGAAAATATCTGTGTTCTTTTCTTAGTAAATTTATGTTTATAATATGTAGATATGCGATAATCTCTGGTTTGATTGCAGAAAATTTCTTGGTAGTATACTTGTATCATATGTGACTGTAAATTTAAATGTAGGAATTTGCGGTCCCATATATTCTGAAGCTGGTATATGAAAGTTTCTCTATCATTCATATCTTATATCTTTGTATTCTCAGGTTTTGGCAATTGAAGAGGTCTTCAAACGTAGAGTTACAAATGTGGTATTTATGGGAATGGGCGAGCCAATGCTGAACATGAAAGAAGTTCTTGAAGCTCATCGTTGCCTGAACAAGGTAGGGGGTGAAGTACTCAATAATTTGACATACTAAAGTACCTAGGCTTGATACCGAAAAAGCTAATTCCTTGATCGGTGAAAGCAGTTAGACTAGGTCTCATATTGGGGACTTGTATATTTTTATTTATTTATTTACCATTTGTCCATTGTTCTATTAATTTCTTGTTTGATGATTTTCACATATTTTCAGAAACTAAGTATAAATAATCTGAAGTATCTCTCAGCTATGTAAGGGTTTCATACTAACATATAAGCCTGAAGATTTATTAGAACTGTAATTAAATTAAATTACATTTGCCATATGAAAATGAACCAAAACATAATGTCAGGCACTAGTACTCTCATATATAGCACGGAGGCAATAATTAAATAAATAACCGGAGAGAGTGAATATTATTTTGTATGTTGACCCATCATGATGTGCTGTTTGTTTTACTCAGTTTCAGTTCTGAACTCAGGAAAATGTTTTACATTTTCACATTAGTGGCAGGATATTTATAGTCTGCCAATGCTGATTGAAACAAGGGCTGGGTAAAATTCATATATTTTAATGTAATGTATGTTGGATTGAGATAAAGCTGGTGATTAAATCATATTTCTTGCTTTCTATATCCCTAAGAAAGTTTGAAAGATCAACCTTGATTTAGCTGCTTTATCACTGCCATGAAATGTGTGGGTGTTTTCAGATTTTGATAAGCTAACATGGATGGTTTGTGTTGCCATTTGATCAAATTGTCTTAGAAGAAGTAAAAAAATTATAGAAACGTATTATCTACATTTATTTTTAGTTTATATATTCTGGAATTTGGATCTTCATGTTTGGGATACTTTATAGTGGGCAGAAAATTGGAAGTTTCACCCTTAATTTAATCTTCCTGTGCACACATAATGTAGGACCGGCATTTTTTTGCACGGATATTGGAAATGAATTTTTTTTTTTGTTAATTTCTCATCATAGAGTGAATTCTACATGGAAATTCTTGATGGTCAAAACCTTGGCTATCTACATGTTAGTAAAGTTAATAGTATATTTTTATCGACCCTTTTGGTGTGTTTCTCGAAAAGAATATGACAGATTTTGCTATGTTTTGATCTAATATGTGTTAATCCCTTTATACACACCTTCAGTGTCTAACGCACATCTTTTATGGAAAATAGGATATTCAGATTGGTCAAAGGATGATCACAATTTCTACAGTCGGAGTTCCAAACACCATCAGAAAACTGGCGTCGCACAAACTTCAGTCTACACTAGCGATAAGGTTACAATTTTAAACATACTACATTCCAACTTCTTACATCAACAGCAAACTCTCGTTTTATGTTATTCACATTTTATGGGCTATTTTGTCAATTGTGTATATTATGAACACCCCTTCCACCGAATTATGCATCTGTTTTTATGACTCAACTAATTCACCTCCCTGATTATCTGTCAGCTTACATGCTCCAAACCAGAAGCTTAGGGAAAAGATTGTACCGAGCGCAAAATCATATCCTTTGGAAGCAATAATGGAAGACTGCAAATACTATTTTCTTGAAACGGGTAGAAGAGTATCCTTCGAGTACACACTACTAGGTATTTTAGATTTGAATTTTCAAGATGAATTCATGTCGTATGATATGTATAATTGTACATTATGATTATGATTCTCAATTTCATTTCACTGCAGCCGGCGTAAATGACAGTGTCGAGCATGCAGCTGAATTGGCCAAGCTTCTTCATCAATGGGGCAACGGTTATCATGTAAACCTCATCCCCTTCAATCCTATAGAAGGTTCTGAGTATCAACGACCGTATAAGAAAGCAGTATGTTACTACATCTCTTTACTCTTACCAATCTCAAATTTTTTTTATTTTGGATAAATTGCATAATGCTCTGTTCTGTTATGTTTCCTCCGTCCACTTAATAAGTTTATATTTTACCTTCTGCGTCGTTGTACTTAATATTAAAAATATCCTTATGTTTGTATGATTTTTTCTACAAATATCATAATATTTGTATTACAAGACATTAATTGAAGTATTTTTGTATTTTTCCCCTTATATGTACTACGTGTAGATATAATAAGTAATATTCAAAGATCAATATGCAAAAAGTAAATATCAACAATGTAAGTAGACGGAGGTAGTATTATAAATGCACAAAATATTCCGTATTTTATTTATTATGTAATATTTTTGTCTTCTTTATTCAAAGGTGATGTTGGTCACTGTTGTTTATTTATTTATTTGAATAAGACTATTTAAAATGTTCTATTCATTTTATTTGTATAACACTAGTGTCTTTAACGTGTTTATCACGAGCGTCAGCTGAGAGGGTGTTTTATACATATTTTAATTTAATAAAAATAAATTTTATGAAAAAAAAAATAGAATATTTTGTGTTTTTATAAAAAATACCAATTTACACCACCTCCTTCCTTTTTATTTTTTTTCTTTATTTCTAATATTTTGAGGAAAATAAAATGTAAAGAAATTTGTTGGTACAGGTTCTTTTGTTTTCGGAGGCCTTGGAATCTCGAAGAATCACTGTTAGTGTTCGCCAAACACGGGGTTTGGATGCAAGTGCAGCCTGCGGACAACTAAGGAATGAGTTTCAGAAAGTCCCAATGGCTCAGCAAGTGCAGCCGGAGATGGCTGTTGCTTCTTGATAATTAATGCTTGTCGAGATCAATGTAAAGGCAATGCATCAGAGGCGTTGGCAATCAACGAGCATTGTCATGTTGGATCGTGTTGTCGCTCGCAGACAGCACCGAAATTCGATCCATCGGGACCTCATCGAACATGTACAACTAAGCACTTTGTAAGTTCAGATTATTTGAAGGACAACGTCATTATAAAGCTCCAGCCCTATTTCTGTTTGTCCTATTCAGTTAATCTCTACTTTTACAGTTTTTCTTTTGTTTTTTTTAACTCCATAACCATCTAAAAGCACATCAATATCATTATAGACATAATTGCTAGGATTGGCCGGCACGGTATACCAAATTTTATATCTGAATATTGTACTGAAAATTTGGTATGATATATATATATATATACTGTAGTATAAATCGAAACTATATATATCGAAAATATCAAATTTGTTTGTTTAGATCATTTTTAATTCATTCTGCAAAAATAACTGTTGAAACGTGACTTGGATTTAGCGGTCTATCCAATCCGAAACCAAAGTGAAAAGGCTGATTCAATTGGTAGGGTTTCTTTTGGGTTTATTCTAATTAATAACAAATAAATTTAAGGTTTAAGGTGTTTTGGGACGCTTATAAATAGATAGCTATGGTTCATAGTCGTATGACATGATTGTAACTCTCTGAATCAGTAGAATAAAATTTCTTCGGTTCTTGTTCGTGGACGTAGGTTGACACACCGTCACTGAATTACATAAAACTTTTGTGTTCTTTATTTGCTTTCTTTCTCGTTTTCTCAAAACAAGTGATATCAGAGCCATATTTGATTGATTGAAGATGTCCTCGTATAAGTTTGATCTGGAGAAGTTTAATGGGTCGAATGACTTTGCGCTCTGGAAGGTCAAGATGAGGGTACTTTTGGTTCAACAAGGATGTGCGGCTGTGTTGGAGGGAGAAGACAAGTTTTCCAAAGACACGAAGGAGAAGATAAATAAGAAGATTTTGGCAACGACTCATTCTGCAATCTTGTTGTCAGTTACTGATGAGGTGTTACGGGAGGTTGTAGATCAGACGATGGCTTTTGGGCTATGGAATAAACTGTGTGAGAAGTACCAGAATAACTCTCTCACGAACAAGCTATATTAGAAGCAACGTCTTTACACCTTTCTGATGTCCGAAAGTACTAAGGTAAAGAATCATCTCGATACTTTTAACCGTATTATTCTTGATCTTCAAGAGGTTGAGGTTAAAATAGATGATGAAGATGAAGTCCTAATTTTACTGTGTTCACTACCTGGTTCATATGAGAATTTCACTGGAAGAAGGTTCTGGTTTAGGTCTGTTTACAGGTAGGGGAAGACTACGTGAGAGGGGTAACGGGAATGGGAGGTTGTGTTCAAAATCAAAATCCTCTAGCAAAGTTAAGTGTTATCTTTGCAAGGAGAATGAGCACATTAAAAAGGATTGTCCGCAAAAGAAGAGAAATACAAAAGTTGATTCTAGTGATAGTGGCAGCAGTGCTGTTGTGGTACAAGACAATTTTGATGATGGGGATTTTGGTGAAGTTCTGACAGCGTGTAGTGTTAGTACTGCTGATTCCTGGATTATGGATATCGGTGCTTCTCACCATATGACGTTCTCTCGTGATCTACTTACTTCTTTTAAGGAGTGGAATTGAACGGTGAAGTTAGGTGATGATGGGGTTTTAGCCATAAAGGAGAGCGGGTTAGTGCAGATGAAATTGCATGAAAATAATGTCAGGAAATTTGACTGTTGGTACGTTTTTGAACTCAGAAAGAATTTGATTTCTCTTGGCACCTTAGCCAAGAATGGTTTAAAATATCATGGTGAAGGTGAGTGGGTGAAAATCTTCAAAGGTGTTTTGGTGATAATAAAAGGAAAACTGCAGCATGGAATTTATTTTCTACAGAGCGGTTCAGTGATGGGAACGGAGGCGGTATCCCAGTCCTTGGATAAACATGATGACAGGACAAATTTGTGGCATCGTCGATTGGGTCACATGAGTGAGCAAGGGTTGTCTGTGTTGAGCAAGCAGGGTTTATTTGGTGGGGATATAATAGGTAAAATTCATTTAGTACCGGGTGAGGTTTAGTACCGGTCATCACACTTCAAAAGAAAATTGGGAGTATGTTCATTTAGATTTATGGGGTCCCTCTCTGGTGAAATCGCACGGCGATTGTTCTTGCTTTGTCACTTTCATATATGATTATTCTAGAAAGGTATGGTTGTACTTTTTGAAGACTAAAGATGAGGTGTTTGAGAAGTTCAATGAGTGGAAGACCATTGTTGAAAAACGGACGGGTAAACAGGTCAAGACTCTAAGAATTGATAATGGATTGGAGTTCTGCAACGCTCCATGTGATGATTTCTGCAAGAAAAAATGTGTAGTGAGGCACCGCATTGTACGACACACACCACAACAAAATGGGATTGCAGAGCAAATGAACCAAACCCTTATGGCGCGTGCTAGGTGTATGCGCATATTTGCTGGCTTATCTAAGCAATTCTAGGCTGAAGCAGAGTTAACACTGCTAAGTATCTGGTTAATAGATCTCCATCAAATGCAATTGACTTAAAGACTCCTCAAGAGGTATGGTCCGGTAAACCCTCTGATTACTCTAATATAAGGATATTTGGATGTCCTGCATACGCTCATATGAATGATGGTAAGCTGGAGCCGAGGGTGGTAAAATGCATATTTTTAAGGTATGTAATAGGAGTAAAAGGTTATCGACTGTGGTGTACAGAAGGTAAAAATCCTGGTAAAGTTCTTATTAGCAGAGATGTAACCTTTGATAAATTTGCTATACTTAATTAGAGTAGAGATTGTGAAAGTATTGCAGGTACAAAAAGATTGTGGTGCTGACCAGAGGTTGGAGTTTGAGACTCTTGACAGAGTTGTGTTAGACGAAGATCAGTAGGATAATACTATTGATCAATCCGATCAACCAGATCAGTCAAAACCTCAAGGGAAACCGGTTGAGGGGGAAGCTGATAACGCTCGTACTGGGGTTGAAGATTCCATAGCAGCAAGAAAAAGAAAAAGAAATATTCAGAAACCAGCTAGTTTTGCAGGATGTGTCAATACATGTGATATTAATTTTGTGGCTTACACATTGGCGGTTGGTGATGATCTTGGCTCGGATAAGCCAAAGACATAAAGAAGTTGTGGCGAGTAAAGATGCAGAAAACTGGACAGCAATGAATGAAGAGATGCAGTCTCTTGAAAAGAACAAGACTTGAGATCTTGTTGCACTACCAAAAGGGGTAAAGCCAGTGGGATGCAAGTGGGTCTTTAAAAGAAATGAAGGAATTTCTGGTGTTGAACCTGCTAGGTTTAAGGCAAGACTGGTGGCAAAAGGGTTCTCACAGAAGGAAGGAATCGATTACCATGAAGTCTTTTCTCCTGTGATGAAACACAAAACCATCCGGGTTTTTTTGGCAATAGTGGGTGCTTTTGATCTGGAGCTGGATCAGGTTGATGTAAAAACATAATTCCTTTATGGTAATCTAGAAGAACGAATTTACATGTCTCAACCATAGGGGTTCAACAGTTCTAAAAGGGACCAGGTATGCTTGTTAAAGAAATCTCTATATGGCTTGAAGCAGTCTCCGAGACAGTGGTATAAGAGATTTGATTCTTTCATGGTGTCTAATGATTACACTCGTAATTAGTTTGATAACTGTGTTTACTCGAAGAAAGTTTCTAGTGATTCCTTTGTGTATCTGCTGTTGTATATGGATGATATGTCAATTGCAGCTAAAAATATGGCTGTAATTAATGACTTGAAGGCTCTACTAAAGGGTGAGTTTGAGATGAAGGATTTGGGTGCGACAAAGAAAATACTGGGTATGGAGATCTGGCGTGATAGAGAAGCAGGACGGCTATGGATTTCTCAAGAAAAGTATATTGAGAAAGTTTTGTAGTAAATCTTTATTGATCAGTGCAAACCGGTAAGTACCCCTTTGGCGGCACACTTTAAACTTGATCGAAGCACTATACCGGCTAGAGATGAAGAGGTTAGCTACATGAAAACGGTTTCATATTCAAGTGCAGTTGGAAGTCTTATGTATGCTATGATATGTACGAGACCGGATCTCGCTTATGCGGTTAGTGTGGTGAGCAGGTTTATGGCTAATCCGGGTAAAGCTCACTGGGGAACTGTAAAGTGGATCTTGCGATATTTGAAAGGAGCGTTTGATATTTGTCTGGTATATGATGATAAAGACCTTGGTGATGGTTGATAGTTAGAAATCGCATGCGTTAAATGTTCATATTATATGCGATATTTGATTGATTTTGATTGGATTCTACCTAATTTATATGCGTATTGTTTATTTACTGTATGCACAGGGCAAATATCAATTTTGGCGTAATTGGTAGAAAAAAGTAAAGAAAAATTCAGATTTGCACAACCTAGTTAGTCATGCTCATGATCGACTACACCCTTTTGACATGTGAATTTAATTAAAGGCCCAAAAACCCAACTACAAAATAATTAGGGAAAAAATTAAATAAAAATGGGAGGATCACACGTTTTAAATGAGGGGAGAACGACCAGAGCAAATACGCACAAGAGCAGGAGATTGACAGACTCATAGATCGCGCATGAACAAATCGATAGAGAAGATTTCCCCTCCCACTATGACTTTATCTTTCTCTTTTGTTATTTGTTATTTGATTATGGAGTAGATACTTTTCTGATTTGAGGGGTGATAATGTTTTGGTTCTTTTGTTTTGGAGATTCTTGATTTTCTTTATAAAAGTTCTTTTTGATTATCAATATTTGTCTAATTCTGATAATAACGTTTATGTTTTTTAGATTGATTGAATATTTTGGTACCGATATTTGAATTAATCCGATACTCTAAAGTCAATTCAGGTAGGATATCCGTAATTGTATTCGCACTTGAATAGGTGACAACCAGGTTGAATAGTTCCTTCTCGGGGGTTAGACAATCAAATCTAATTGCTCATCTTAGGTATTAATTTTTTTGAATTGGGTTTTTCTAGATCAGAATGCGATTAGGCAATATTTCTTACGGGCGCACCTAGGTTTATTTTCTTAATTAGGGGTAGTTAACGGTCGTACCTTAATTACCTACACTATAAGGAAAAATTGGTTATCAGAGCTTGTTGATAATTATAACCAATTTATTGATACTTTAATAAGAATTAACCTTATTGAATTAATGATAAAACACAAGTG